GCCAAATATAGGTTTTGGTATACCTTTTGGGGTAACTGATTCAAGATTCAGTTTTAAGCCCCAACTCTTTGTTGGACAGCTGCAGTACACCTTAACTGTATTGCAACTGGGTGAGCTTAAGGTTAACCCTTCCCTGTACAGCTCAGGGCCCTGTACTGCCCTGTGCCACCCCTGTCCTTGACAGCAAAGTATTTATTGCTGACGTATTTTAGTACTATATTCAATAATACATTGAGAGTTCATTGTGCTGACCACTATAATTCTGGTTTTCATCTTCCAGCTGAGACTCCTCTATGAATGTAACCCCATGGCTTTTGTAATAGAGAAGGCTGGGGGAATGGCAACAACAGGGAATCAGGCAGTGCTGGATGTAGTGCCTGAGGATATCCACCAGAGACTACCCATTGTCCTGGGATCACCTGATGATGTGCAGGAATACATTGACATAGTCAAGAAGCACTCAACTAAGTGAAAATTTAGCCGTGATGCAGCTAAAATACAAATTGGAAGAAAAGCCTTACAGCTGAACCATAGATTACCCTGTGCAATACTACTGACTGTGAATGGTCAAACTTCTGTTGCAGCAAAGCAAAAGAGCCATATTTCCATAAACCTTGTTTAAGGAAAAAAAAAAGAAAAAGAAAAAAACGTTTGTATTGTGTAACCAAAATTCAGTCTTCAGTGTGGCATTAAAAGCAACATCAAGAGAATAATATGTTTTTCTCTGTTTCACCATGTACAACTACACAAATTCCACTATAATTTATAAAAGTTGTTAAGTGGCCAACTGCTGACACCACTTTCTTTCCAATGACAGAGAAATCATTGTTCCCCTACTCACCTGAAATATTTAATTCTACGGAGAGTAGAGTGCAATAAGAATCTCTCAGGTTGGACCGTGTCCAGACCAGTCTTTGGTCCTCTGGCAACAACTGTGGCCATGCACAGGTATTACATTTCTGCTGAAAGAACTGGTCTCGCAGTAGAAATGAGAAATGTACAAGTGTTCACTGAGTTTCTCCTGGGGGGAAAAATGCCCTTTCTGGAAGCCAATCTTATCGGTTTTAACCTAGAAAATCTTTCCAGTGAGAGAGTTTGTCTCACAAGTGTGAACACTTAGGCTCTTCTCTTGGTTTGCTTTGGAAGAGGAGGTGAGCAACAATCACTGCTTACTGACTCTTCAGAACTGCCCAGTTTGGGGAAGGAGCTGGGGTCTTTTTCTCAATGCTCCAGTCAAGGAGGGGAGGGGAGCAGCAACAGCTATCCTCCCTGGCTCTTCCCCAACCAGGCAGTCTGATTTGAGAAAGAGGTGGGGAGACGTTGCTGGTTCCCTCTGGCTTCCCCTTGCTGCTCCTGCCACTCAGTGGGGTGGCAGGGGCAGGGACTGCAAAACCCTGGGGCCAGGAACTGGTCCAAGGAAGCCATCTCTATCCCAGTTCCTGCACCCCCAGGCTTTAAATGCTATTACTACTGCCCAGTGGAGGAGTAGCTGCTCCCTGCTCCTCTGCCTAAGAGTCCCTGGTCTTAGGAGCAGGCAAAGGGCTTTCCCATTTGCCCATACTTTCCCCCAGGTGAGGTTTACCCCAGTTTCAGGTAGCTAGGTGGAGCAGGACTAAGGGGGAAGTTGCAGGCTGACTGCCTATATTAATCCCTGTCTTAGAACTATTTCTAGCAGTAGAAATATTCTTAACTCTAAAAATGAATGCCTGTAACTGCTAACCTAGACAATCCCCAAACGTGCACTCCAGGATACATACGTTTCTATTTGTTGTTCGGCCTAGGCTTACTCGGACTAGGAGCTAACATGTACGAAACATCTAGTTTGCAATTATAGTAGTTTTAATTATCTGGTAGTTATCTCTGGTTATTAAGAGTTTTTGGTTCTATTATGAGACTTCTAAAATGGTTCTGGAATTGGATCAGAAGTCTGTGTAGCTGGCACAGTGTTATTGTGCTGTGATTTGCCATCTGGATGTATCAGAAAGCAGGCTTCTGAATTGTGAAACCATTAGGACTTCCATATTGCTAACAAGTTCAGCTCCCATTAAATGTTCTTAGTTGTATTTTGGAAGTGGAACACTACAGCTGGTGCATAGGGAAGTATGAGTAACTGAGCAGCAAGAAGTCCATTAACACTTTCATTCTATCACAAAAGCACATACCACTTTGCCATTTGAGAAGTTTATCCACAGAATGTCACTGGGAGCAGGGGATGCCTGTACTACTCAGTCTCCACTGGCAGCGCATCTGGGTAGAGATGTTATGACCTATAAAGGCTAATCTCTGGCCATTGAGGTCTACTGTAGGGATTGGTTCTCCCCACTCCTAGTCATTTAAAAAAAAAAAAACAAAAAACAAAAAAAACCACACACACACACACACACACACACACGGGGAGGGTACTATTGGCAAGAGGGCATTCTCTGACAGCTCAAGATTCTGGGCCTTGTTTTCTTATCCCTACTCCTTGTAGGAAATAGCTTGAATTCAATCACTTCTTAGCACGCAGAAAAAACGTCGACCCAAGAGGGTTTTTGGAGGGGGCTAATGATATCCTTTCCAGAATAAATAGGTGAAGAAGAGTTTGTGAAGATGCTCGAGTTTCAGTTGAAGAAGCAACTTAACGCTGTGGGAACCTTCTTATATTATTAATGGTGCAATCTGTTAGGAGACCAGATTCAATAAGCAGAATTTAGATCCAAAACTGATCCTGAAAACCTTTGCCCAGCTGCTGCCTAATTAAGAAGAAAAGATGCTTAAATTCCACAAGTACCTTGCTTGACTTTGGCATTCCCCATGCCCCCGTCTTGACAGGGTTAAACAGCTCAGCCTTGGGGCAAAGCTTAGTTGGGATCCAGAAACTAAGCATTCCTCTAAAGAGCCTGATCTGGTAGGTGTTCTCAAAGTATATATAACACATGCCTCAAGATCAAGTTCCTTACAAAATACAGTGGCAGCTGCTGCATCCTGTAAGACGAAGTGGGTATTGTGCCCACCGTTTCTAACCTAATACACAAAGCACTCACCCAGGAAATGGGATAACCAAGTTCAATTCCTTCCTCTCCAGGCAGGGAATTCAAACCCACATGTTCCTAGAGAGTGCTCTATCTGCTGGTTATAGGCTGTTCTTGGTATGGGCATCCAGAGGTGCCATGGGAAGGGTGGAGTCACTATGCAGAAGAAAAAAAAAAAAATTCAAGATTAAATAGCTGGATTCTATAACTGAGCAGCTGAGACGGACAGTCACCTGGCAGGGGGCAGCTCTTGGTTCCTTTCCTTGAAACCAAGACTCTCTCCATAGTGTACCAATAAGTGTTCTGTGTAAAATATTGAAAGAAACAGGGATCAAAACTCAGGACTCACTCTTTTGTACAACAATCTCTAGGGTTAGAACACTCATATAAATGTAGGAAATGCAAATCCATTCTCTGCCTCCCAGGATTAAAAATCCACCCCATGTCCTTTCTCTCTGGAGAATGCCCTAGACACTTGACTATAAGCTTTGCTGGGTATGAGTACTCTCCACACTATCTGTTAAGAGATCGGTCATTGCTTAGGAAGGAGTTATTTGGTAGGGCTGTGCAAAATTTCGTCAGGCGTTTCATTTCAAAGCTGTTTTGACAAGTTTTCAAGCTCGGAACAGCAAAATAGAAATGAAGCAAAAGGCTTTGAAATGAAACAAGGGCATTCAAAACATTTTGAAAGTTTTAAAATGTTTCGAGCTTCGAAGCTGGGCTTACTTGGTGTCATCACTGGCAGCGGCAGCCTCCTATCATCCAGTGCATAGGTCTGGGGGCCCACACCCCCGGGAGGGCTGCGGGGCTCTACCGGACTCCTCATGGGGGTGCAAGCCCACAGATGTGTGCTGGATGAGAAGAGGCTGCCACTGCCACCTGGGACCAGTGGCAGCAGCAATCTTCTCCAGCACTGGATGGGGGCTGTGCCCAGTGCCGATCCCAGAGAAGATTGCTGCCGCCTGTCCCAGGCGGCAGCAGCAGCAGCAATCTTCTCCGGTGCCAGGCACAGCCTGTGCTGAGCACCAGTCCCAGGTGGGAGAGGCAGCCTCCTCATCTGGGACGCAGATCTGGGAGCCCACACCCCCAAGAGGACTGCCAGGCTGTGCCGGACTCCTCCCAGGGGTGCAAGCCCCTGGATCTGCACGCTGGATGAGAGGAGTCCCAGGCAACAGCAGCAGTCTTCTCTGGTGCTGGATGGGGACTGCACCCAGTGCCAGTTCCAGGTGCCAGTGGCAGCCTCCTCTCATCCAGTGCACAGATGTGGGGGCCCGCATCTGTGGGAGGAGTTCGGCACAACCCCAGAGCCCTCCTGGGGTTGTGGGCTGCCGGATCTGCATGCTGGATGAGGAGAGGCTGCTGCTGCTGATGTGTCAGTTTTGCTTTGAAGAGTGTGAGAGGTTCAGTTTCCCAGAAAGCTCTGCACCTATCTCCTTGAAACCTGGCAGGCTTCATGCCCTCAGAAAGGGCTACTATTCCTGCAACTTCCATCCAAATCAGGCAAGAAATGACAAAACTTTAGGCATTTTCATGATTCCCCATTATAGCCTATGGGCAAAACATTGAAACAGCAAAACAGTTTCAACAAAGTGAAATGAGACAGTGCTTTGAAACCAAATGAAATGATGAAATGAAACACTGTCCCTTTGAAACAGCAAAATGGATGTCGAAACAAAATGATGACGTTTCACACAGCCGTATTATTTGGCTTAAAGCCAAAGAGCAGAGGCTTTATGTTTAGGATACTCACTTAGATAAAATACATAACCAATTCTGGGAACAGGAACTGGAACTCAGCTCTTTCCCCTCCCAGCCAAGTATACTAATCTGAGACTACAGTCATGCTCTCTCTTTATTCTCCTCCTCTTCCCTCTTGTCCCACACAACATCAATTCTGCTCAGTTCCAGGCTGTGGATCCTAAGTTAAGAGGTGTTTCACTGCAACCTTGAGTGAGCCCCAGAGCAGAATAGGATTAAAGACAGTCTTATTCTCAGCTTTCCCCTCTTGACTAGGACTAGCTGGCTGCATGCTGAGCACTTCTTTTTCTGTATCCTGGCTGTTTCAAATCCAAACTCTCCCCCTAGGTTCTGGACTGCACTCTGCCAGGCACCTAAATGTAAGACGTTGCAATATCAAAGTTTCAGGCACCTAAATTCTTTGCTGGATCTGGCCATAAAAGCCCATAGCTGCAGAGGGCGCACACAGTTTAGAAATGTCTCTCTGGTTTTTATATTTTCAGTCTGGAGTAGAACAGGCCCCATTGACTGGTGCACATGAAATGTCAGGCAGAAAGCATACCACACCTGCGAAAAGTATTTCCTTGGCTACATCCTGTATTAAAATCACATCAGAAGTTCCTGGCTGCCCAATATCTATTTTTAAGATTACACACTGGCAGTAGATAAAGGTTACAGAATGAAGGACAGTGCTGCCTAATTTTAGTAGATAAGTTCATAGATTACATTTTTATTTTACCTTTTTAGCTACAAACTGTCCTTTAACAAGTTAGTATTGCAACACTGCAGTTTTACCTGTAAGGTATACAGTGCCAGTGTAAAGGCACACGTGTTTACTCAGTGGCATCTTGTATTAGTTTCATAGTTTCATTATTACATTATTCATTATTATTGGGTTGGTCTAATAAAAGAGATCAAATTCACCCAAGGAATCTTGTCTGCCTATTATTACAAAGAGA